CCTTTCCAAGATCAGCATAGTAGAAGTTATATTAAAAAAACTGATATGATAAGTAACACTTTATCACCCTGTATCTTGGAAACATAAGTAATTAGGAAAAATATTTATTTAGGTTTTCGTCTTATTTTGACTTGCTCAATCTTTTCCTAAATTTATGCCAATAAGTTTAGGGACACCTTGTATATTAATATTAATGTAATTGAAAATAATGACACCTGTCATTATCTCCACGCGGTCTATAATTTAAACTTTATTGTTGTCAACATTCGATAAAGAAATGCCTTGTTATGGCCTAGGCCGATTTTTTTATGAGGCAAGTAATTAGTTCGATTTTTTCTTGCTTTTGACAAATTAATCCTTTTCTAAGAAATTAACGCACGTAAACTGGTTTAATTTATATATAATAAGCACTAATTTGTTTGTTTTTCTGTTAATGTTTAATATTTTTCATTAAATTATTGTAAAATTAAATATGAATAATAAAACAAAAAGTGAGGTTAGGCAACCAAGAAAACGCACGATTCTTTTTCTACGATTTAAATTATCTTTAAGTTTTAATTTGCTTTAGGTTTCAGTGAAATTAAATGTTAAACATATCAAACTACCTATTTTTAAATAAACATCCAAACAAATTGAAATTAGATACCTACCTATTTATTAAACAATTAATTGAACTCAATGTAATAGCAAAATTCCATTTCTACTTAAATCATGTTGCTAGGTATTGTCAAACTATTACTGCTTCTAAAAGCAATAATAATTATGGTACATTTAATGTAATCTTAAGCTAATAAATACATGAGATTCTAAAAAAGTGAGGTTAGGCCGCTTTGATGTTGAATTAAATTGACCTATATAATATGCTTTCTATCTATTACAAATACGAAAAAATGTTTTTGGCAAAATCTACCTATTTTTAGTCGAATGATTTTTTCGTAAAATGCATATTAACAGATATTTCAAAGTCACCATCGAGAATACATTAACTTAAATAATTACCTTCAAGGACATCGCACACTGAGCAATCACTACTGTCTTCAGAAAACTCCATTTAAAACCAATAATAAATATCGAACAAATTAAATTTAAACACCGAAAGAAAGAAAACGTAACATTAATCGTATTGCACACTGACACACAAACACAGCGTTATCTTAAATATTTTTACGCGGTTTAACGCATAAGCAATGCAACGTGTCTAAGTTTCGGTTCGGGACAGGTTTGTAAACATCGAAGGCTTTCTTATCATCGCTCACGTTTGAGTCGTATACTGAACCACAAATCCTGCTAGATGTTTTGATAATATTTATCGCGTTAATTAGTAAACATTTTCGCTGGTTATAACACATAGTGCGGTTTGTTTTTGATGTAGGAAGTTTTCTAAGGTCGCGGACGAGATTTTTTGTTTTTTATGCGGTTGCAACCATGTCGATTAGTTAACATATGGCGGGTTTTAAATCTGTATTGCAGTTTTAAAGCAAGTTTGGAATGTTTCGTCCCATTTTAGGTTTTTAGACAGATAGAAAGGGATATTTTTATATTTTAAAAGCAAAAACGTATACGGGTGAATATATTGAGATGTACTATGCTCCACACCTCAAAGTCCCACCACGTGACCACGTACGGAAAGCAGTCTTTTGAAAATTTGGCATTTAAGGCTCTTCAGGTTATGTATCTGTCAAAGTATAGTCAATGAAAGAAATAATATTTATAGTGTTACCGCTTATGTTTAAGCGTTAAAAGTTAATAAATCTTAAAGATTATCTTTAGGAATATAAATACTGCATTTAATGAAATTCCAAGGTGTAAGGTGCAATATAAGTGATATTTTTGTGCATTGGGTCTACATTTCTCCATGAAATAGTTTAAACTAAACAGCATTTATTAAAAAAAATCTAACTTCTCTATTATGAAATAAGAATATCTGTATCAAAGGTAGGTTAAAAAATATCATCTAATTTTGTATTTTAAGGTTAGAAAAATCTATTTTGACCAAAATAAATAAGTGGATTATTTGGAAAAGTGTGTTAATATGGTCATAAATAAATATAGGTATACTAAATAATTGTTGAATATAGTTCAAATTAAATTGAAGCTTTTATACTTCTAACGACAAAACTTGTGCATACCTCTCGGCATACTTACTTTAAGTTAGATTATAAGAAAACAAACAATTTTTAGAGAAACTTGCAATGTGAAAGTATTTTATACTCCCATGACATGTGATTTATTAAAATTTTTAAAGTTATAATGATTTTTTGATGTAGATCAAATTCAGTCGAAGCTTTTTAACTATTTGTATGGACAAAACTTTATGTAGGTACACTTTAAGCTGGATAAGAAAAACTACCACATTTTTAAATACCATATTAGTCTTTTAAATAATGCAAAATACTTATTTATTTTGGTCAAAATAAATTTTTCTAACCTTAAAATTACAAAATTAGATGATATTTTTGTTATAATATATTAACCTACCTTTAAAACAGATATTCTTATTCCATAATAGAGAAGCTAGATTTTTTTAATAAATGCTGTTTAGTTAAAATTATTTTATGGAGAAAACCAGATATATGGACCAAATGCACAAAAATATTACTTATTTGGCACCATACACTTTAGAATTTCATTAAATGCAGTATTTATATTCTTAAATTCTTAAACCATCCATTGTTATTCTAATGTTATAAAGATTTATACATTATTAACGCCTAAACATAATATTTATTTTATTCTTTGACAGATACATAACCTAAAAAGCCTTTAATGCCAAATTTTCAAAAGACTGCGTTCCGTACGTGGTCACGTGGTGGGACTTTGAGGTGTGGAGCATTTATAAAAAAAATCTACTTACTGAGATATTACACTTCACAGTGGATAGGTTTTTAAATGGCAAATTAATGAACTTATAAAACAGCAACACTCTCATCTGCATATAAATTCTAACTGACCTTCAGGAATCACATGCATCTATAATGTCGTAAACAGAGGTTTTTGCTTATTTAAAATGATTAAAGCGCCATCCGTTTCATAAAATTTAAAGCAAAAACAGATTTACGGATGGTAGAATTAATTTAAATTCACCTACATAAATGGTTATAAAAATGATTTTTTTTAATTTTTAATAATATTTTATATTTTAATCGATTGCTTTGGATGTGTTTAATTTACTTAATGAACTGATATTTTTAGTATGATTTTACTACCTCAGATATTTGAAAACATATAGGTTAACCTAGAAAGAGTAACAGTCACGGAGGATAGGTTTCAGACTTTTAAAAAACTGTAAAAAATAATTAATTGCGGTTAAAAATCTGGAACCTGAGCTGTAATATCTACTTAATTATGAAAGATCAAAACACAATAAAAGTGTAGGTCAAACTCATTTAGTTTTATTAAATATCACGGGGTAACACCATCGGGGGACATTTTGTGAGATTCACCCATATATACACATTTTCACTTAATATTGATACTAATTTTTGGGATTAGATTTTTATTTATTTATTAGCTCTGATATTTACCTTTCAATAAAACATTTTTACATCGTTTTCTCTAGTCAGTTTGTTCTTTTTTTGGGAATACTTCCTCCTGATTTAGTTTAGCAGTAATTAACATTCTCGGCAAATGCCTGCGGTAATATTCGGCAGACGGGTTTTCTCCTGCGAACCCAAATCAGCCTTCACTAATTAACTTTACTTTAGTTTAAGATAATATAAGATAGGAAGTCGTTTGGAAGCTTCACCCAGTTTTGAACACAGAATACATTAAGTGAGACATTAAGTACGTATTTTTTTATATAATATACTAGAATATAGAACCCTTAAAAATAAACAAAAAATAAAATTTACCAACAAGGTTGGTTTATTTTCTTTTTATTTTTATAATAAAGTCTTGATTAGGGTTTTAAAATTTAACATTTGTTTTCATTTTATTCAAAATTTAATGAAACAAAGATACAAAATCCAATTTAGTATTAATTTATTGAGTCACCTATTATTTTTTACCACTCAAAACAAAACATAACAGAAAAAGACGAAGATTTATATATTACAAAAACAAAAAATACTGGAAGTTTGTCTATGAAATAATTACAACTTGCAAATTTTGTAAAACAATAATTAAGGTGGTTATGAAAAAAATTGCTATACGTTTATTTAATGTATACTTTATAAAGTTAAAAATAGTATTTAAAAATGAAAATTAAACCGAAATTCAAGTTAAGTCATGAAGAAAATCGAAAGAAGGTATGTGCTGGCTGTGAAGACAATATTGTTTTTGGTAATCGAAAAATTCAGATTTTACGGTTTCTGAGAAAATATAAAAATTACTGCAGACTTTTTCAAACGAACACTTTCACTTAAGTGATTCAAAATTACCTACTTCAATATGGTAAAAACGGTATTTTTGCATAGCCACAATTGCCAAATTTTCAAAATTTAGAAATTGCTAGAGAATTTCGCGGCAGCCAAGAATGTATGTGCTTTATCTGCAAAATGGCAAGATATAAAGGGCATAAAAAATTATTAAGGGAAGAGGACGGACGAACGAACTAAAGTTTTGATATGCTCTTCCTTTCTAGGGGATATCGCTAGATGTAAGAAGCATGTTTGTACAGAGACTGAAGAATTTAAAAATTCTGTTTCCATGTTAAAAACAATTCCATGTAAAACCCAAGAAAAAGTTTTACTGAAAATTTAAGGCAAGCAGTAGTCGATTTTGCTTCAAAGAATCTTTAGTTATTTATTAGTTTTGTATTAGGTACCTTAAAACAATAAATAAGATATTGCAAACTGTATTTTACATTATTTTGTATTTATAATGTTATTTATCCATATTTCAGTCATGTATCTGCCAAATTTTTAAAAACATTTGATAATGTTACCAGAGTATTTTATCGAAATGGCATAAACAATTTTAAAATACTAAGAAATATGCAAAACTTTAATAAAGGATCAGCTGGGATTTTGACAAATACATTTTTTCCGAAGACTCCTTACCTGACGTCAAGGATATCTGCGACGTGTCGGACCCTTTGCGCGAGTGTCCCGAGGCGCCGCTCAGCGAGTTGAGCGACTTGGCGTCCGACTCGTAGAGCCTGTTCGCCTCCTCCAGCTTGGCTAGCAGCTCCAGCTCTGGGCCGGAAACGTCCTTGCCGCCGCCTTTGACGACGACGTCGTTATTGTTGTTATTGGTTAGGTTTTCGTTGTGGTTAGTGATCGGCGGACTGTCCAGTCTCATGGCAGTCGGCGGCATCGCAATACCCAAGTCACCGCCATCTGATTCGACGACTAGGCAACTCAGAGAACCGCCCCTGCCACTGCAACAGAAAAAAAAACATAGAGTTATTAATAATAATAATAATAATAATAATGTATTTATTTGCCCATCAGAGAATCCAATTACAGGACAAGAATTCATTTAAGTAACAAAATGTAAATATATTAAAAAAAGCAATATTAAACTAGATAAAATATAAAAAATGCATGAAATCGATCGACTCTTTAAGTGAACAATTATTTATGTCGCAAAAGTAACATATTTTATTATAATTTGAAGATATCACATAAATAGGTGATTTGGTGATTGGTTCTGCAATTACCACAATAAAACATAATATTTTGTCTAGAATTTAAACGTGGTACTAAGAACTTAAGTTTGCAAAGTAATAACGGAGAGTCAACTAAATTATGTAATATTTTAAAAAGAAAAACCTGACTTCTATTATTTAAAGACATAATGTTAAATTCTGTTAAAAGAAGTTCATGGTCAATTCCCCTTGGGGGGTAAATACCATTAAATTTAAAAAATAAATACGTTACAAACCGTCTTGGTACTTTTTCAATTTTGTTGATATGATTATTGTAAATAGGGTAAAATATAAGAGAACCATACTCCAATTTTGAGCGTACTAAGGAGAAATATAAAGACTTCTGTATTTGAAAAATAGCCGCAATTACGTATGATAAAGCCAAGTGATTTTAATGCTCCCTCACATATTATGTTATCTATATGATTTACAAACGAGAGTTTATGGTCAAAAACAATACCTAGATCTTTTGTAGAAACAACGCGTAAAAGACTTAAACACATAACAACTTCACATGAAATAACATAAATTGTTAAGTATTTTTTAAAGATAAAATTGCTGTTTTAGGTAATTTTTTTATTTCGTTTTTGTAAATATCATACAATTCATATATTTTTTTCTCGGATTCCTCATCCTTTTTCTGGATTCTGAAGGTGACTACTACTACTACTACCTTGGTCTGACTTAAGCCTGGTTCTAACAGAAAAGTAATTTAATTTAAGATGTAATTTAATTTAACTTAAAAGTTAAAAACCCAACAATCCTTCGTAACGTTCATACAGTGGTGTAATTTAAAACTTAATTTAATAGTTGGCCAACTTTTATCTTTTAAATTAAATTACGTTATTTCAAGGTTATTTCGTATTATCTAACCTATTTTGGGAAAATCTAACCTATTTTGTGAAAACGGTTTTAATAATAAGACAAATATTTCGATTGTAATTACCAAAGTAAGCCATATATATCTAAAACTTTAAGTTTTAGATACATTAAGTAAGCACTCTCTTTAAAATATTGTTTTTAATTTCAAACACTATTAAATTACGTTACTTTTTGTATGAACGCAAGTAAATTAAATTAAATTACTTTTAAAGTTAAATTAAATTATATTACGTTATTTTTCTGTTAGAACCCAGCTTTAGTCGGAAATAGTTTGTTGCAAAAATCATTAGTGTGGTATCTCTATTTGTGAAGCATTTATAATGTTAAGGCCGGAACAGGATGATTAATAACTAATATTTTTTCGCGTGGTATGTTAGTATTTTCCGAATTTACGGAAATGTCGTCAAAAGTTATAAAAGTAGAACAGTTTTTGAAATATAATCAATTTTACATATATATATATATATATACATATATATATAAATTAAAATGTTTTTAAAACTTAACAAAAAGTGAAAATTTACACCAGTTTAATTAAAAACTTTACAACCATTTTGAACTTAAGTCGGTTGTTCAATTTGGCCGATAAAGGCGTTAAATTTTTATCATCGGTTTTTAAAAAATTTTAAGTGGTAATTTGTTAAGTTTTATGGGGCATGAATGTGTGACCCGAATAGGGCGTCATAAACATTGCCATCAACTTTATTGATACTGCAAAAATCGACCCCAAGCTAACCTGCATACACAATGTGTATTACACATGCTGTTGGTATGATATAAAATAAGACATAAAAGGCTATAGGGATGCTTCATGTTATAAAATGTTGGTATTTTATGTGCAAGTTTGTTTGTGTAGTATTATTGGGTATAACTTTTTATGTTTTAATTTAAAAATAAAGCATTTAAGTGAAAAATATATGTAGTAAGGACATATTTCTATTATATTTATACATTATGTATATAAGTTATAAACTTAGATTTTATATGGAAGTTTTTATTACAATATTTTATTAAGCAGTAGTAAAACCATACTTTTACTATACAGGGTGGCCAATTTAAAACAATAGGTGCTCAAAATGATGGCCTTCGACTTCAATGCATTTATTAATTCGCATTTCGTTTTAATATTCTGCTAACACTGCTCTTGGATATTCCAAAATCTCTAGATAATTCTCGTGTGCTTGCATGGGGATTAGCGGCCGTTGCTGCTAACACATTAATTTCATTATTTCCACCTGTGACTGTTGCTCGACGAACTCTTTTTTTCGGTTGAACACTCCCGTTTGTAGTAAACTGCTTGACTGTACGGTGAAATGAAGTACGTGATCGAATTTTATTCGGAAAACGCTGAGCGTAGATATTAACAGCATCATCAAGATTCCTGCCTGCTTCTCCATAAATCAAAATCATTTCTATTTTTTCTTCCACTGTTAAAAAATCCATTATGAATAACTGCTTAACGAAAGGAGGTCTTTTTGTTTGCAAATTAATCTTCGAACTAAATTCCATTTTTTTATACCTCAATACCTCAAGTTAAATGACTCACCCTGTATATATATTTTTATGTGTTATTTTTTAATGGTAAAATATGAAGCAAATAAATATCATACAGGGTATTTTATGCGAATTTCCTGTTTTTAAAACATCTATTTCGCTATAAAATTGATACCCATCCAATATATCAATCCTAAAGTAGTGAATTATGGTTTCCATTTTCCCATTCAACTTGTTTAGATCGTAAATTTTAAATATTAGCCCATAACTTTCCAAGCTTCTTGCGGCGTTTCTGAATTACGACGTTTAGTAGCTGAACTACACCATACTCTAAAGGCTACTTTACACTTTATAATTTTATGGGGTAAAGTGGGGTAAAATGCCGCAGTAAGGTGTAAAGAAATAATATCAAAGTGGTTTGTTTGATAAATGATAATGTTTATTAGACTGGACCAAAAAAATCAACTATTTTTTGATGAAAAGTATATCGAAAATATGGTTTGGGGTGAAAAAAAAAATTATTGTGAAAGTTTGAGTCCATAAAATTATTATTAAGAGGTCTATCATCGCAATTTTAATTTTTTTTTTCCCAGCAAGTTTTAGGCTCAGAACTCCTAAATGAATTACAAAATTCCAATTTAAAAGATCAAAATGTAAAACTATACCAATTTTTAAGGCATGATTTTAAGGAAACGGTTCATCTGACGGAAAATTTCACTTTAACCTTTTTTGTAGAGCTTTAATTGTCTTAAAAAAATATTCTTAAGTCAATTTTGTTAAACTCAATGATTTGGGAGTTCTGAGACAAAAACTCGCTCAGGAAAAAAAATCTAAAATTGCGATGATAGACCTCTTAATATTAATATTATTTTTTGTCACCCCAAACAATATTTTCGATATACTTTTCAAAAAAAAATTAGTCGATTTTTTTGGCCCAGTCTAATGTTTATATATTTAAAAAAAAATACCTATTCTTGGCAAATTACCCATAAATTCATATTGACTAGCGCGCTTTCCTCAGGCGTGTCCAAATTATGATTTATTACAAACTTCATTTTAATAAAAACCGAACAAAATCCTAATATAAATCATACTTGCATAAATCTGAATTAAATTCTCTCCAAATAAAAACCCTTGGGTACAAAACTTAAAAAAATGGCGAATGCGCCGGGATTAATTCCTTAAAATTTGCAGTAACTTTTTGAATAAAAATGTCGGCTTTACATTAGAGATGTAAATTGGTAATGCATTTTTACGACTTAAAGTTTGTGGATTCGTTATTTTAAATGGTTATTTCTTAAGAAGAGAAGAAGGAAAAATATATACTTTGGGCTTATCTAAATTGCCGGAATAATTCTTGGGATAATGTAGTCCAATAAAAATTTATCTGAAACTGATTTCCTTAATCTACATAACCAATGGATATATATATATATATATATATACAGTGTGAGCCATTTGTTTGCGACTTGCCCCTGTAAAATCTTTATTTATTGTGCGTAGTATTAATAAAACCCTAATGGTATTATTTATAGAAATTTTGTAAATTTTACAAATCCCTTTTCGTTTAAAATAAAACTTTTTTATAATATTAATAAAATTTATAAATTTAATAACAAATTTATTGTTAATTCAATATTTTCAAACAACAGTTTTTTTTAAATAATTGCAAGGCATTAAGTAAAACAAATTATTTATTATAACAAAAAAATTAACTCATATTATATGATGTACAAAATAAAAAAAAATACGAACTCACTTTTTAAACAACAAGTCTGCTTCGTTTATAGAATAGACCTTAAATATTTCTTTTATAAAACGTCGAAATTTTAATTTTCTTAGTGATCCTTTTGATATTTTTATCATGCTAGATTTTACCACACGTCACTCGCACAAGTGAAATCAATAAGATTATAACACAGACTGAGGATTATAAAGTTATGTTCACCAAGGAGAGCGCTGGCCCTTTCCCCCTCTTTTTAAGGGAAACAACAAAAATTTTGTTACCATTGCAAAACAATAGTAAATATTAAAAAAGTCTTTTAATAGCAATAAAATATGTTTGTTATTGTTCTTAAAGTAAGCTATTAACAAAATTAGTTTCATTATCAGTGGATGTACATTTTTTAATAATAATAATAGTAATATTTATTATTATTATAGAAATTTACAAATTTTAATAATTCGCAATAATGAACAAACGTTTATAATTTAGTAGAAACCTAAAAATCTTATGAGAAAATTTGTATTAAAAAAGTACAAAAAATGTAATGTCAAATATAAGAATATAAGAAAAAATGATCTAATAATAGTAATAATATTTAAGCTATAGAAAAACATCGTATTACACACGA